AGATTAATAATCCAGAAGGCAGATTAATAATCCAGAAGGCAGATTAATAATCCAGAAGGCAGATTAATAATCCAGAAGGCAGATTAATAATCCAGAATACAGATTAATAATCCAGAATACAGATTAATAATCCAGAAGGCAGATTAATAATCCAGAAAGAACACACAGATTAATAATCCAGAATGCAGATTAATAATCCAGAAGGCAGATTAATAATCCAGAACACAGATTAATAATCCAGAATACAGATTAATAATCCAGAAGGCAGATTAAAAATCCAGAACACAGATTAGTAATCCAGAATACAGATTAGTAATCTAGAAGGCAGATTAATAATCCAGAAAGAACACACAGATTAATAATCCAGAAAGAACACACAGATTAATAATCCAGAATACAGATTAATAATCCAGAACACAGATTAGTAATCCAGAATACAGATTAGTAATCCAGAAGGCAGATTAATAATCCAGAACACAGATTAGTAATCCAGAATACAGATTAATAATCCAGAAGGCAGATTAATAATCCAGAAAGAACACACCACTTCAGTGACCAAAGATTGAAGCTTCATCAGCTCAGTCACTGCTGACAGAAATGACAGAAACGTGTTTGTTTTAAATATATTTATAGATTTACCAAGTCGTGGTTTGTCCTTGTTTCCTTCTTCTGTCGTATTCCTTCTGACGTAGTTCATGAGCCAATCAAAGATCTGCACGTCACAGTGAACAGAGATGTCTACCTCCTCCCACCTCTGCTGCTCCACAGACAAATACTCAGCAAAGTAACGCATCTCTTTCACCAACAGATCTCTGGGACAGATGAAGTCCTGCTTCAGGTTCTTGGTCTCATCACACACATGGATCACAATGTTTGGACTGAGGAACAAGGTTCAGAGAAAGTGCATTTAAAGCAGACTTCAGACATCTGGCATTAAGTAACTTTACAGGTTCATCTGATTTCTACAGATTTTTACATTTATGAAGCTGCTTTACGTCTTACTCTCGTGGTTTTTGGGCTTTGCTGTCGTCTTCTGACAGTCGTTTCTCTTTCTTCTCAGCAGCACCTCCTCTTCCTGCAGGGATCGACCTGCAGCCTACAAACAGCAACACAACATATTCACAGTATTCACCAGGGGCGGAGCTTCAGGGGGGGGGGTGCACCCAACCCATATGGGGCCCGGCCCGGAGTAAGTCTGGACCCAGAGGGAGACAGAGCTTAACCCTGGTCCAACCTGTGCAGTAAATATTCAACCATTATAACCAGTGACAGTGTTCAGACTGATCCTCATGGTGCAGATCAGAGACTGGACCCAGATCAGAGACTGGACCCAGATCAGAGACTGAACCCAGATCAGAGACTGGACCCAGATCAGTTTTTTATCCATAAAACTTAAAAATATTACAGAGTAATATTCTGTTAACTTCAGTTTACCTGCAAAATGAGGAAAAATGACAATCTGTACAACCTGACATGCTGCACTTGAGTGGGACACAGTGGGACGCAATGGGAAGGAGTGGGATGCAGTGAGATGCAGTGGGATACAGTGGGACGTAGTGGGACACAGTGGGACGCAGTGGGACATAGTGGGACACAGTGGGATGCAGTAGGATGCAGTGGGATGTAGTGGGACGCAGTGGGACGCAGTGGGACACAGTGGGAAGGAGTGGGACGCAGTGGGACACAGTGGGACACAGTAGGACACAGTAGGACACAGTGGGATGCAGTGGGACGCAGTGGGATGCAGTGGGACGTAGTGGTAGTGCTGGGCGGTA